GGCGCCGCCCCGGCCGCACGGCCCTTCGCAGCGTCCTGGCCTTGGGCATGGGGGCCACGGGAGGCGACCCTAGAACTCCTGGTGAGGTCTATCGCGGGGAGCCCTCGGCCCCGCCGCGATTGATTGGGACCAGCTTGACAGAAGAAGGCGGACCCCAGCGGGGGTGGGGTGGGGGTGGCGGAGGCGCCTCTGAGAGGCCGCACCGTGCCAAGGCCCGGGCCGCACGCGGGAAGAGCCGGCCCGTGCCTTTCCCGTGATCCCGGCAGGCGCGGGGCTCCCAGCCCACTCGGCCCCGCCCAGCCAGACGCCACCCGTTGGCTAAGCCTGATGCCCAGCAGGGAGGGCTCGCCGCGGGGCCACGTGCTCTTCCTGCCCCGCCCCAGACCCTGCGCACAGTGCCCCGCCCACAGCTGCCCTGTCCACGGCCCGTCCAGCCTGCGAGGCAGTTGAGGCCGCTCCTCCTCCCTCGTCTCCCCCTCTGGCTGTCCGGTCCAGTTTCCTCTCTGGCCAGTGCCCGTGTGCGTGCATGCGCGTGCACGCATGTGTGCTCACAGGTGGCCAGAGCTGACCCCTGTCTTCAGATGGTGGGGTCAGTGTATGACCCGGGAAAGCCAGGGTTCCCCAGTCGGGTGACAGGAGGGGTCCCAGCAACCATTTCCTGCACTGGCCGAGGGGGTGCTGGGGGCCGGGTTACACGCCTGCACACAACGCGCTCCTTGGCCGTGGGGAACGTGTTCTCTGCGTTTGCCTCGGGGCACAGGTGCACAGGTGTGTTTGGTTTGTGTCCTGTGTTCTCAGTTCCATTCTGGGGGCCTTGTTGCGGGCCACGAGAGGCTTGTTTTTCACGTCTGATTGATGTGGACGGATCCCAGCGCTCACAAGCATAACTGCATGCTGACAGTCAGCTGACTACTCCGCAGGCTTCAGTAAGGCCCTGGGTGAAGGCAGCCCAGACCGGGATTCACCACACACTGCAAGAGGTCTGTGGTCAGGAGCACTGAGGGCCTGACCTCCCCGGGGCCGCAAGTGATACCTTGGCTCTGGAATTAGGACAGAGGCTTCGGCAGGATGAAGGCAGGCTGGTGGGACGGCTGCCCTGGGGCCCCCAGGAACCCAGGCGCCCGTCTTGCTCCCCCTCCCCAAGGACTGGCCTTCTTCCACATGATCCACAAGACTGAGCCATTCACTTCTCAGAAAATGGCCAAGCCTAACTGTGGGTGGGCACCATGACATGTCCTCCCCTACTTGCCTTCCCACTGACCAGAGACAGGGCGAGCACCCTGGCGTCTGCCACCCTTGGGGTCCCCTCTGAGCACCGGCCTCTGAGGGGACACGGGGAAGGGCGGATCAGGCGTCACCTTGAGAGGGCGTGGCCCGCCCGCCCGCAGCCTTCCCTCCCTCTGTGGATTCAGGTTCCTCTGTGGTGGTGCTCCCAGTGTGGGGGCCTCCCCTGGACGCCAGGCACCCGCTGGGGTGCTGTGTGGGACCCTGCGCGCATCGTGTGCATAGACTGTCACCACGTCACAGTCTACCGTCAAACGAGGTTGTTTCAGACTTTTCTGTGAGGAATTTTGCCACACCTGGTTCCTGGACTTGGCTTGAGGGCACGAGGTGTAAGAAAACTGGCGCGAGCAGGGATCAGATGTTTCCACACTTCCTTTATATGAACACTGCCCATTACAAGCCACGCACGTTTTGAGGGTGACTGAACCTGGGCCCTGGCCTGAGCTCTCTACAAGCCGGCCTTGCCCCGCAGCGCTGGGAAGGCAGGCGCCCCCGGTGTCCTCCGGCTCGTCTTCACACCATGCCATACCTGCTTTGCATTCATCTTTAGCAGCTCAGGCAGGAGAGGTGAGGAGTCCAAGGCAGAGCGGGATTTGAACCTGGTAAGTTATCCACAGGAGAGCAGAGTTTGCACCTGGTGAGTTTATTAGCGGGGCATGGTCTCGGGTGATATGGCAGCTCCCGAGTCACTAAGGTCTCTGTGGCGCAGCCCAGAGCTGCAGAGGAGGCAGAGGAGGCCATAGGGGAGCCCCGGGGAGCAGGGGTTTAGGAGACCACCCCGGATGGCCCCGGGGTCTCGCTGGTCAGCACTGGCCTGTGGAAGGTATCACTTGGTTTGGGGGAGCGGAGGATCTGTGACTTGAGTTCCGAGGCATTGAAGGATTGGGGTGACGGGCTGTTGTTGGTCGGTGTTAAACTTGGAGCCCCGACCCTAGAGAAGCCACACAGAGCCACACCTGGTCCGAGCGGGCCCCGCTGGCCACTGGGGAGGGTTCTCATCGCATCCACTCCCAGCCTCCGCTGCCCCCTCTTGGGGGACGCCCGTGCTTGCCTCCCGCTAGGGCTTCCTGCCACCCACACCCATCTGGAGCCCCGCCCGTCCCCAGTGCCCCGGGGGCCTTGCCGGGGGGGGGGGGGGGAGGGGCAAACTCTGAGTCCTACATCCACTCGCGAGGTTTCAGTGACTGCTGGGGTACAGCTCAAGCTACCATGTCTGTTCAGGCCACTTGAGACTGCCTCTCCTACCTCCCCCCCTCACCTCCCAACTGAGACTCCCCCCTCCTCTACACCAAGACCGCCCTGCCCTGCCCTGCCCACAGAGCACCTGCCCTTCTAAGGTGTCTTCTCTAAGAGCTCAGTACAGAGACATTTTGGCGTCTAGCGTCTTCAGAAACGGCGCAGGCCTGCCTGTCTCAGAGCTGCCCCTCCGCTGTCCTCCACGGGGCTTCCCCCTTCATGGAGGCCTGGTCTCTCCGGCCCCAGCCTCTTGCTGACTGTTTCAGCCCGCCCAGGGCCCCAAAGGAAGAGGCACTGAGCAGAGTGTCAGAGCTGGAAGGCTGTGAGGCCTGCTGACCCCTTCAGCTCCGGCCCATTCCCAGCTTCTGGGGTCTGCCTGCCCCTCTAGCCAGGAGTTAGACTAGTTGTCCTCTGTAGCCACCCCGTTGCTGCCCTGTCCCCAGCTGGTTCTTGTGGCCCAACCTGGCTGCTGCCCACCGTCTCTGGGGCTCCTTACCACACTAGCAAACGGCTTGGGTTTTCCCCTGGCTCTGTCTGGAGTCGGCTCCCTGCAGGACTCTGCTGCCCAGGCTTGGGGCTACACAGCATCCTCCCCTCCCCTCCCCCAGCTTGCCCAGACATGGCTCAGCATGTGTGGGGCCAGCCTCTGCCCTCCTGCCTCAGTCCCACATGGCCGGACTGGACTTTACCCGGACTCTCAGCTGCTCTAATTTTGCCCAAATGAAGTCTAGGACTTGGGGACACGGGAGCTTTCTGATGCCTCTCTCTGTGGCTCAGCTCCCACGGGGACCAAGACCAGGCTGGGCCATGTGTGCCAGTGTGTGCTGTGTGTTGTGTTCATGCATGTGGGTGTTTCAGGGTGTCTTGTTCTGGAGTGTGGAGGTGCACAATGGCCAGAGGCCAGTCATACTGACTCTGCCCTTGGTCCAGAGTCCCCTGTGGTGCCAGCATTAGCTGGGCCTGGAGCGGGGAGGGAGGTGGTGGCGTGGGGCTCTGGGCGCGCAGACGTGCTGTGTGCAGGGCAGATGGAGCAGCGGCCGGCAGCATGCCTGTGCATGTGCAGACTTGCAGTGCACAGCGGCTGCTTTCTGAGTGTTTGCTTGGGAGGGAGTGTAGGCACCTGCAAGCCTCTTTTCCGTGGGCAGATCTTTCCAGGAGTCTGCTGTTCCCTCCATCTGCGTGGGTGATCACACACCTCTGGGTCACGACTGCTTAGTGTTGGTACTTACCTTGGAATTGGGATGGACCTCGTTGGCACCAGCTTCTTCTGCAGGGGCAGCTGGTCCTTCAGGGAGACATTCTTCTTCTCCCAGGATGGCGGGGACTCAGAGCTGTGCTCTGCTAGCCAGGAGAACCTATAAACATCACTTAAAAGTAGCTGTCGCTCATCAACAGTATCTGCCAGGCACTACTCTGAAGGTTCTACAAATACCCTGAGGCCCTTGGTCTGGGCTGTGCTGGGGCGGACGTACGACCTCAGACTGGCAGTACAGCGTGAGGTTTCTCAGGGACTCCAGTGGGCCAGAGACCCCCCCCACACCCCCTCCAACTCTCCACAGTGCTTTCTGGGGCTCTTGGGCTTGGCAGGCTGGAGAGCTCCACCTAGGGGTCTGGGAATCGTGTACCTGTACGGAAACTTCTTGGCAAATCTCTCTTGGGTCTTGACCCTGCTTTTCTTGGATTTGCGAGACTTCTTGGTGGCATTAGACTCCATCCCAGAAGGAGTCAGGTTGTGGTTTCCTCAGTCATGGCTGGAAGGCAAGGCACGGCTGCTACACGCTGTGCGCCCCATCTAATGCTCTCCACCAGTGGAGAACATGCTATCCTTGTTTCCATGTTTCAGGAGAGAGAAGGCTCTAGAAGGCCACTGCTTTGCTCGCATCTGCTCGGTGGCTCTGGGGAGAACTGTGCTTGTGCCGTGGAGCTGCCCGTCCTGAGGCAGCTCTGACAACCCCAGAATATTCTCCCTCACTGCTCCCGGCTTGCTGCCCACCTCTAAGACGGAATGAGACTGGATAGCTGGGCTGAGTCTGTCTAGTAGGAGACACCGCAGTCCAGGGCAGCCTTGGACCCCATCTACCCATCCTGGTCACCTCCCCGACCTGTCAGTGGGTCTCCCTTCCCAGCCACACGGGTGGCTGAAGCTTACCATGCTGCCCACTTCCAGTCCTGATGATGGTGATGATCATTGGAGCTGGGGTTACAAAACTCCAGAACCACTTCAGTGCAGAGAGATGCACAGGAAGAGCTTCTGGGGCCTTTGGCTACAGTCTCAGGCCTAGGGTTTGCCAGGAGAGATAAAAGGTAAGAGAAGTAGGCCAATATGCATTAGGCTATGTGATACCACAGGAGCTGCCGCTGGCCATGGTCCTGATGGCCACCACCAAAGGCGCCACACCCCGGGGCTCTGGGAAGGCTGGGCTCACAGGCTTGTCGCAGTGTCATAAGTTTTGAGCTCACAATGAGTGACATGACTATCGCTGGCCCTGTGGCTCAGCCTGGAGATCCCCTCCCCAGACCACGGTGATTGTGAAGGCTGTGGCAAGCAGACGGGTGGTGTGGCGCCTGTGGTAGCTGGAGGGGAGACCCATCTATACACTCTGTACCAAGAACTTGCCCCATTCAAGCCCCAGAAACAGAAACAGAAGAGTGAGCCCAGAAACAGCCCCGCACTCCCCGCGGCTACAGGAAAGCTCTCTCTGGCTGACCTTCACCTGACCTCTAACATCAGGTGAGAGGTTCTGAATTCAGGCTGAGGGTCTGAACTCAAGAGTCTGGATTCTGCAGCCTCAGTTCCTGTTTCCCTGGGAGGCCTGCCTCACTGTGCCGGATGTCCATCCTAAAGGCACAGTATTAGCACCACCTCTTAGGCTATGGGGCAACAACTTGGCAAGGTATGTCACATGCTTAGAGCAGGTCTGGTGAATTAGGAACCAGTTAGTCATGCTGTCTTCCCTGGCCCGGGGAAGGTGTTCTGGACGAGTGCAGGCTCTGGGTTAGACCGCTGCCTCAGAAGGAGGGGTGGCACGAAGGAGAGGAAAGGAAGGAATGCTCCTGTCTGTCCCGGCCTGCTAGGGCCTTGCTCCTCAGGATGGACACAAGACACAATGTGTACATTGCAGGGATTTCAGATCCAGAGTTCAGTATAAGGGAGCTGCTGAAGGGGGTCTAGCAGAAGCAGCCGCAGAACAGGATGTGGGAGAGGCCAGCAAGGATGGGCTCTGTTGGAGACTGGCTTCCATGTGGCTCCGGAGGAGCTCCAGAGCAGCAAGTGTTGCTCAGGCTGTCTACCTGGGCAGGGGCCTCTTCTGGAGGAGGGGGCTGTGGGTAATCTGCCTGGACCAAATCAAATCAAATATTAGACCGCCAGCCTAAGACAGGGAGCCTGCCACCTACCTTAGTAACGAGACAGTAGAAAGAAACCCAGAGGGAGATGGTGAGCAAACTGTGGAGGTAAGCTGGGCAGAGGTCCAGAGGCACTGCCGCTGCGGTCAGAGACTCCCAGGGGACTACGAAGGGAAACCAGATAGGATGTTACAGCCAAGACTATACAAGAATTTCAATCCAACAGGCTGCCCAAATCCTTAAGCCTAAATTTAGGTTTTCCCATCCCTTCTGGATCAGAAGCTCTACCAGCTTCTTAGACGTGGTTTAACATGAACAGCAGGACAGGGCCTAGAGCTTCAGGGACGGGGGGGGGGGATGAGAATTGTCACAGGAATTTGGGGTCTCTGAGGCTGGGAGAAGCTGGACTTGGAATGGAGTAGTATGAATAGGAACAATCCTGGTATGGTTTGGCTGTGAACTATCCCTAAATGCTCATGTGCTGAAGCCTTGGTTCTGACAACAGAGTTGATCAGTGAGTGGTGCTGAATCATGAAAGCTCTGATTAATTAATAGATTAACCCGTTGATGGGCTGACTCATGGCCTCATTGGAAGCGATGGGAATTAGGAGGTGGGCTTCACTTTGAAGGGTAGATCTTGTCTCTCCTCTTTTCCCTCTTTCTCTCCTCCCTGGCTGTCATGAGGTGACAATGCTCCCGTGCCCTCTTTCTGCCTTGCCACAGGCCCAAAAGCAATGGAGCCAACTGACCACAGACAGAATCCCCCAAAACCATGAGCCCAAATGAATCTTTCCTCCTCTTACGATGCTTTCTGAGATTTTTTTTTTTTGTCTAAGTGATGAAAAACTAATGCGACCCCCTTTGTCTAACTCAGGCAAACAACAATCTTGGTTTGATTTCCTCATCACCAAAAAACGAGACCGCCCATCAGCCTGGTGGCTCTACGGTCCTTGCCTGGCATCGGCCTGATACCACGTCACAGACGTAGAAGTAGAAGAGCTCTGTGGCCATCCGAGGAACTTAATTATCTTTGCCTGTTATGTATCCTGCTCCTTCCTTCCAACCTAATTACCAAATGCTAAAGAGCTGGAAGGAGGCCTCGTAAGGAGGCCCAGTAAGGCTGGGAGGGATGAGCCCAGGGCCTGGTGAGTCAGGTCTCACATGCTGTAATGGAAGGTTCACAAAGGTCGCAAGGAAATGACAAGACTAGATATCCATTCTGAAAATAATACCCTGAGCTGGTGGCTTATGGCTGTAATCCTAGTCACTTAGGAGACAGAGATCTGGAAGACAGTGGTTTGAAGCCAACCCAGGTAGAAAATTTGCTTAATCCCATCTCCAAAATAACCAGCAAAAAAAGCAGAGCTGGAGTGGTAGACTGCCAGCCTACCAAACAGAGAGGACCTGGGTTCAAACCCCAGTACTACCCCCCACCAAATACAGCTGAAGTGGCAATATGGAGACCAAAGGGCCAGGGGCTTGGAGTAGGCAGACCAGATGACCAGCAAAGGAAGTAACAAGGCAACAATAGCGGTGCCTGGGAAGGAGGGGCTGGTGAGAATGGAGCGGAGCGAGGGGGTAGGTGGAGACCCCAGGGCTCCACAGCTTCAGGCACTGGACTGGGCTGTTTCAGGGAGTCGAGCGCTCAACTTTCCTAGTCCTCATTTCCCATACTGTCCCTCCTGTTCGTTCACTGTTAAGTGCTGAGGAGAGTCGGTGGTTCAGATGAACTACCCAGGACAGATCCCCAGCAGGAGGGAATCCCAGCTCCAAGGTCCTGGTGAGAGGCTGCCCTCCCTCCCGACACCCAGGCTGATGCAGGATGTTCATGGCTGGACAGCTGGCAACCTCTGAGATGCCAGGGGCAGGGGGCCAGGCAGGCTCAGACGGTCCCATCATGGGGATGAGGGGCTGAGCACCACTCAGGGAGCAGAGCCTCCTGAGCCCCTTTCATGTCTGCTGCTTCCTCTCCAGGCAGGGCCGGGGTGGGACGCTCAGCGGGCGCTCGCTCACCGCCTCTCCTGGGCTGGGCTGATCAGCGGGCGCTCACCGCCTCTCCTGGGCTGGGATGATCAGCGGGCGCTCACCTCCTCTCTTGGGCTGGGACGGTCAGCAGGCGCTCACCTCCTCTCCTGGGCTGGGACGGTCAGCGGGCGCTCACCTCCTCTCCTGGGCTGGGACGATCAGCGGGCGCTCACCTCCTCTCCTGGGGACGGTCAGCGGGCGCTCACCGCCTCTCCTGGGCTGGGACGCTCAGCGGGCGCTCACCTCCTCTCCTGGGCTGGGACGCTCAGCGGGGGCTCATCTCCTCTCCTGGGCTGGGACGATCAGCGGGCGCTCACCTCCTCTCCTGGGCTGGGACGGTCAGCGGGCGCTCACCTCCTCTCCTGGGCTGGGACGCTCAGCGGGCGCTCACCTCCTCTCCTGGGCTGGGACGCTCAGCGGGGGCTCATCTCCTCTCCTGGGCTGGGATGATCAGCGGGCGCTCACCGCCTCTCCTGGGCTGGGATGATCAGCGGGCGCTCACCGCCTCTCCTGGGCTGGGATGATCAGCGGGCGCTCACCTCCTCTCCTGGGCTGGGACGCTCAGCGGGGGCTCACCGCCTCTCCTGGGCTGGGACGGTCAGCGGGCGCTCACCTCCTCTCCTGGGCTGGGACGGTCAGCGAGCGCTCACCGCCTCTCCTGGGCTGGGACGCTCAGCGGGCGCTCACCTCCTCTCCTGGGCTGGGACGCTCAGCGGGGGCTCATCTCCTCTCCTGGGCTGGGACGGTCAGCGAGCGCTCACCTCCTCTCCTGGTCTGGGATGATCAGCGGGCGCTCACCTCCTCTCCTGGGCTGGGACGGTCAGCGGGCGCTCACCGCCTCTCCAGGACCGCACTCTCACCGCAGGCCGGACAGCACATTCAGGGCCTACAGCAGGGCCAGGGCGGGGCCGGGCTCCCCACAGGCCCCAGCCTCACCAGACTCCAGACTGGCGGCGAGGACGAGGCGTGTGGGGTGCACAGGAGGGCTTCCGGGCAGCGAGGCTGTCGCCGGGCAGCCACGGGGCCTCCACGCTGGACACTTCCAGAAGTGAGTGCGGTTCTGCCTAGCAACGCCAAACCCGTGCAGGTGCGGTTCCACTGGAGTCCAGACCCCGGAAGAGGAGGAGCCAGTGAGGAGGCGGGGTCACACGGAGCCAACCAACGGACGCCCTGTGGCTGACGGTGGGCGGGGCCAACGGGTAGAGCCGAGCAAGGCGATTGGCGCCTGTCTGGCAGGGATGGGCGGGGCCTAAGGAAAGCGCGAAGTGATTGGCGGAGCCTTGCTCCGGAGCGGGGCTGTGTGGCGGAGGCCGGCGGGCGGAGGCTAGGAGCCGGGAGAGCTCAGGGCCTGCTTTCTGGTGCTTGTGGGCCGTGCCTCCCCAGACCCAAAGGGAGCGGGCTGCAGACGCCCCGCGCGGCCGCAGGGAGGGGCGGAGGTGTGTGCGGGGCGGGGAGGGGGGAAGGGACTCAGGGCCCTGAGCCCGGGAGGGCCTCCGATCCAGGTCTGCGAGCATCCCGGCCCACCCCGCCGAGATGGGACCACAAGGCGACAGGCGGCCGTCTTCCCACGCCCGGTGAATTCATCTATTCGTGCCTGCAGGAAGGGTCGGTCCGAGCTTGGCTTGTCTCAGGTAAGGAAAGCAAAGCAAAGCTGCTCTGGACGGGAGTGGGGGGGGGGGGAAGGCGGTGTCAGGCAGCACGCTACACAGGACAGCAGCTGCCAGGACTGGTCCCGGCCTCCACCAGGAGCTTCTGGCCAGGGCCTGGCCCAGAGGCCATAAGCAACGTCCCCTGTCACCACCCAGCGATTTCCACAGCTGGAATAGCTTTGATCTTCTCACTTGGCTGACAGATTTGATGGAACAGGGAAGGCCACGGGTACTCACACCTTCCACGCTGCTGTACGGGCAGCATGTACTCACACCTTCCACACAGCTGTACGGGGCAGCATGTACTCACACCTTCCACGTAGCTGTAGAAGGCAGCGTGTACTCACACCTTCCACGCTGCTGTAGAAGACAGCGTGTACTCACACCTTCCACGCCGCTGTAGAATGCATGTACTCACACCTTCCACGCCACTGTAGAAGGCAGCGTGTACTCACACCTTCCATGCCACTGTAGAGGGCAGCGTGTACTCACACCTTCCACACAGCTGTAGAAGGCAGCGTGTACTCACACCTTCCACACAGCTGTAGAAGGCAGCGTGTACTCACACCTTCCACGCCACTGTAGAAGGCAGTGTGTACTCACACCTTCCACGCCACTGTAGAAGGCAGCATGTACTCACACCTTCCACGCTGCTGTAGAAGACGTGTACTCACACCTTCCACGCCACTGTAGAGGGCAGCGTGTACTCACACCTTCCACGCCACTGTAGAAGGCAGCGTGTACTCACACCTTCCACGCCACTGTAGAAGGCAGCGTGTACTCACACCTTCCACGCCACTGTAGAGGGCAGCGTGTACTCACACCTTCCACACCGCTGTAGAAGGCAGCGTGTACTCACACCTTCCACGCCACTGTAGAAGACAGCGTGTACTCACACCTTCCACGCAGCTGTAATTCACTCACCCAGTCCTTAGGTAACAGCAGAGACTGGGAAATGTGGTCTGTGGGAGGAGCACCATGTGTCCTGCAGGCCTCCTCACCAGACATGTGCCATCATGTATCACAGAATATATGCTGTGCAACATGATGTGACTAGGTACTTGCAGATGGAAAGTGGTTGGATCTGGAGTACATGCCATTTTGGCTGTAGAAAAGTTTGGGATTGCTGATGCGTAGATGCGTGTGTGTGGGTAAGGGACAAAAGAAACTGAAGATGAGACCTGAATATTCTGCTTGGGTATCCTAGGGGTTAGTGATTCCCAATATTGGACAGGGCAGAAAAGACAGGAAAAGAACATCTGGCTTGAGGGAAAGATCCTAATGAATTGTTAGATGTGTATGTGGACAGGTGTGCATGCAGAGGAGAGCATGGGGAAGTGCACAGGCATCTGTGAGATATTAACTAGCATTGGACAATGTCTAGTGCATTTAGATAGGTCCGTGGTGAGAAGAGAGGACGGGGAAGGAAATACACATGCGGGAGACCCGGTCAATGCACAATGCTTAGTGCTGTGAGACTGAGTGAGCCAAGAGGCAGAAGACGCAAGTCAGGAGCGCGGGGAGGTCCGTGGTGTAAGCACTGAGCACATGCTATTTAGAGATGGAGCTGAGAGGAGGTCTATAAAGGAGACAGAATGACTGTAGTCAGCTAAGGAGATGGGAAACAAGGTAAATGTGATTCTGTGGATTTCAGAGAAGAAATTATTTAAAAATTGGGCTCCTCTTGTACTGAATAGTAAGAAAAAGAAAAAAAAGACCAGAAGTTGAGCAAGTGTGGATCTTGATGATACCATGGTTGCTGTAAGGGTAAGTTGTTTACTACTTACCTCTGCTTCCTAAGAGATGGAAGTCACTTATCACTTGAATAAGATTGTACCAGATGTTGGTGCTTGTGACTTCAAGGATATTGATACCTTACTTTCTGCGCCCTGTACCAAACTCAATAAAAACTTTGGCCATGGGATCTGAGTGTGAAGCTGGTAGAAGGCTTCCCTGGTATCCCAAACCTCAGTTCCACAGTCTGGCCTCTGTTACTGCCCTGTCCCCAGTCGCAGTGGGTTGTGACAAGAAATCATATCTGTCTCCATATTTTATTTTTTATTTAACGATATGGGATGAATCTATGATTTTTCACTCCGAAGCGGGTATATTGACTCATTCCTAAGGAACCGGATCCTTGACAGAATACTCAAACATTTGCTCCCTTCCTACAAGGATTCCAAAAAGTTAGTTACGCGTTTTTCCATGCTGATGAACACCAGAGGACCGATTGTGGCATAACCATTGGCCACCATCATCTGGATGCCAGGATGAATTGCCACCTAATTCTCAAGGAGGAGACAACACTGTCCAAAAGGTACATGAGCACAAAGACGCTCATGAATGACAGAGGTCCGGTGGCCTTTGCTCTTGGAGAAAGGCTGGTGCGGTGAAGATGCCGGGACCGTCTCCTGTGCCTGCACAGGAGAATCACCATGTACCCACTGGAGAGGCCGGGAGCCCTGGAAGAGACATGTCCTGGAATGTGACCAGTGTAGACAGTAAGGACTTGAGGGAATTGTTCAAAGTCTGTAGAGAACAGGATTTGGTGACAGATACAATATTGTGTGAAGTCACATTGGGGGTAGCAACAATGGAGACTAAGAAGTGGTCACTAATGGAAATATAGAAGACCCAATAGAGAAGAAAGCAACATATGCTGTGGTATGGAGATTTATCTTTGAGCTTTGCCAGACAGGAGCTTCTGGGGCTGCAGGTGATGGCCTGGGGGACACTCAGCAGGCAGCTGGCACAGATGGACAGGCTCCTCATCAGCCTGTACAGGTAGATGATTGGTTACATGTGTCCTTGTCCCCAAAACCTTGGAGCCCCAAGGTATCTGTGGCCATCAAGGCCATGGTGAGCAGCAGCACAAGGTGGATTAGAGCCAAGAGACAGGTGAGCAGGTCCGTGGGCTTGGGCCTGTGCTCCAGAAAGAATGTGAGGATGTGGAAGAGAAGAAGCATGGTGTTGGCCAAGATTCCAACGATAACTTCAGAGAAAAGGGCATTTCTGATATCATTATTGTATAGATTGCTGTTTAAATTCATCTTATGGGGGAATCATACAATGAGTGTCTGAGACTAAAGGAAGAACAATGTATGCACCTTGTTTCTGTCCTTCAGCAGTCAGGTCTGTCGGGTCTGCCCTGGGAAGCAGCACAGACCCCTCCCTCCTTCCAGTACCTGTGTCACCTAGGTAACTGGCACACCTGGAGGCACAGCCCCTCCTCCAAGGCCACACCTCTCACCTCCCACTGGAGGGTCCCAGGCCCTGTGTGGCCACACCTTCTCCACTTAAATCCAGCTGGGGCCTCAGCTCACCCCTTCCAGCTACGTGCTCTCCACCATGCGCAGGAGCTGCTCTTCTTGCCTGAATACTGGTGGTGGTCTCTTCCTCAGCTACCTAATTAAACCTAGCTCTTTAATTTACCTAAGTTCTACCTCACATTCGCAGATGCCCCCATCTGCCTTCCTCCATCACTTCCTAGTCAGAGCTGGAGCGTGCCTCCCCTGCTGGGGTCCTGCAGAGCCCATGCTTTATTGAGCTAAGACACAACCTCCCATCACACAAAGTGTGTTCGTATCATCGCCTCGTTTTCATGTTTTCCAGGGTGACAGTAGTTCTGTCTTCATCTTTGACAGTGGGAGCCCTGCAGATTGTGTGAATGACAAGGAAGGTGTGAGAGTGAGCATGGTGCCTCACACCTGTGAGCTCAGCCACTTGAGAGGCATGAGCTTGGGAAGACTGTGGGTGGAGCCAGTCCACAGACAACTCCAACTCAACCAATAAGCTGGATGTGGTGGCACATGATGTCATTCCGGCTAATTTGAGGCCTTAGGTAGGATCATGGTCAAGAGGATGGCCTTGGGCAAAAACATGAGATTCTATGTGAAAAATCATGAAAACATTCCTGAAAATGTAATGGGGGTGTGGCTCAAGTGGTATAGCACCTGCCTGGCAAGTGCAAGGCCCTGTGTTCAACCCAGCACTACAAAAGAAATGTGGAAACGAGGGAGCCTCCAAGTAAAGGATCTCAGCAAATCAGACACACAGTTAGGTTATCCCAGTACTACTTTACTCTGACTGGCTTATCGTCCAGTCTCCAGGAGCGAATGACCCCAAGCAAGGGCCAGATTTCTGACTGAATTTAAATCTTGGCTCTGCCACTGACTCCGAGGGTAATCTGGGCTCAGCCGTCCTATCTAGTCATGTTTTAAATACAGTCCATGTGCTGTAGAGGCAGCGATGTATTTCTGGCACACAATGATTTATAGAGATGTTGGCTGCCGTGTTTATTTATGCAGTGCTTTGTACATATGACTGGACACGCAGTTCTTTTTTTGGGGGGGGATCTATTGTGGGCTTGAACTCTGGGCCTGGGCGCTGTCCCTCAGCTCTTCAGCTTAAGGCTAGCACTCCACTACTTGAGCCACAGCACCACTTCCAGTTTTCTGAGTGGTTTATTGGAGATAAGAGTCTCGAGTTGACTTTGAACCATGATCCTCAGATCTCAGCCTCCTGAGTAGCTAGGGTTACAGGCGTGAGCCACTGTTGCCCATCTAACGCAGTTCTTTTAATATTTAAACAACTCCACTTCCACCAAAAGACAGAAAGAGAAACAGCCCTCTTATCACAGTTGATCTGGCCTTAGCTTGTCATGCAGGGTGTCCACCACTTGAGCCACTCTGCCAGCCCTAAGGAGCAGGTTTGTGTTAAGAAACATTGGTGAGAGCCGGCGCCGGCGGCGCACGCCTGCCATCCTAGCACTCAGGAGGCTGAGATCTGAGGATCGCGGTTCAAAGCCATCATGGGAAGCCGGGCGCCGGCGGCGCACGCCTGCCATCCTAGCACTCAGGAGGCTGAGATCTGAGGATCGCGGTTCAAAGCCAGCCTGGGCAGGAAAGTCCGTGAGACTCTTATCTCCAATAAACCACCAGAAAACCAGCAGTGGTGCTGTAGCTCAAGCACTAGAGTGCTCGCCTTGAAGAGCTGAGGGACAGCGCCCAAGCCCAGAGTTCAAGCCCCACGACCGACCAAAAACGACAACAACAACAAAAAAACATTGGTGTGAATGTCTAACTTAGGTAGGATCATGGTCAAGAGGGCACTGCAGAGAAGACCTTCTAAGAAAGCACCTCATTTTTTGAGACAGTCTCACTAGCCCAGGCTGGCCTAGAACTGGAGATTCTCCTGCTCTGCCTTCTCAGTTTGGGACCACAGGCCTGCACCACCACATTCAGCATAGGTTTAAGTATGTGTTAACTTCTCAAGGTAGGATCACATGTCAGATATGCTTCCCCAACCCCGTACTGGGGTTTGAACTCAGAACCTTGTGCTTGCCTGTGCTTGCTCAGCTGGCACTCTACCACTTGAGCCAGGTCCCCCGTCACACGGCATGTTTCAAAACCATCATGTCATCACAAGCAGCCCCTGTGAGGAGAGTCCAGTATATATTTAAAAAATATCACCTGAAAATTAAGGGTGCAAGGGTATATTATTTCCTGGCTCTTTATACCATGTATTTTTTTCTTTTGGTGCCAGTCATAAGGCTTCAACTCAGGGCCTGGGCGTTGTTGCTCAGCTCTTTTGCTCAAAGCTAGTGCTCTACCACTTGAGTCACAACTCCACTTCTAAGTGTTTTGGTAACTCATTGGAGATGAGCCTCATGGATTTTCCTGATTCTTATGTGGTAGCCTCCTGAGTAGGATTGCAGGCGTGAGCCATGAGTACCTGGCTTATACCATGTAATCTTTTAAGACACTAGTGGAAAGCAAAATTGTTGAAGATTTGTGAACAGGAGATAGCACTTAAAAGCTGGGCGCCAGTGGCTCATACCTGTGATACCTAGCTACTCAGGAGGCTGAGATCTGAGGCTCATGATTCAAAGTCAACCCAGGCAGGAAAGTCCATGAGACTCTTCCCTCCAATAAACTACTCAGAAAAGGTGAAAGTGGTGTTGTGGCTCAAGTGGTAGAGCCTTGAGCTCAAAGAGGCTCAGGACAGCGCCCAGACTCTGAGTTTAAGCCCTAGGACTAGCAAAAGAAAAAAAAAGAAAGCAAAAAAAAAAAAAGACATGTAACATTTAAAATTCAAAACTGAAACAGATACTTGGTTAAAATACTGGAAAATGTGAATTATCTAAATTAAGATTTTTATAACATTTAGAGAGCATATCTTTTTCTCAAAATCCTGATCAAATACACCAACGTGTTTCTCCATTCCTATACTTGGCAAAGTTTAGTTTGCTACCATGATAAAGTCAAGATTTAGTACACAATACTAGTTCAAGGTTCACTGTTCCCAAACAACCCAGAACCCTGGTATTCTGTAATGCTCTTGTACCTGAAAATACAATACACCTGTTTCACACAAAAATTTTACACATATAGAGTTTTGAAAGAATAATTTGAAGTATTACATATGTGTGTACACACGCACACACACACACACACACACCACACACAGGCTGTGCTAGACATCCAACACCAGGCCTATGTATATTAGGGAAACACTAATACTAAGCTACATTCTCAGCCTGCTACATCATAACATTTACTAAACAAGTTGAATAATAGTTGTCAGTTCTGAGTGATACAGATTTGGCTTTAGTTCAAGTTAAACCTGAACAGCATGCTCTTTCCAAAGACAGCACTGCAACTCTCTGCACGTGGCCCATTTTAACCATCTCTGAAGTGGGGCTTTAGCCTACACGATCTTCAGCGTTACTTGAAGGGATATGTGTTAAAACTGCATATGCTTTGAGAAAACTCATGGGCAGATGTCATGAAGTTGGCCCAGTGTTTAGGAATTCATGGCCTAGGTGGAGCATTGTTTAAAAATCCCTGGTAAAATCCTCTTTGGTAAAAAGCATAAAACTTAGCATCCTTCTGAAGAGCACTACTCAAGGCAATCGACGCATTCATAAATACTCACTTGTATTAGCACCTGTGGAGCACCAGGAGAGACACGGGAACCATGACCTTAACATCCACAATGTATGGACAGCATAGAACAGTATCAACGAAACAAATATAACAAATACGAAGCTGTGTGGCTGTCTCTGTGGGAACCAGCTTGTGGAGGATGGAGCCCTTCACACACACAGGCTAAGCGACACCCTGCTAGAACCTTCTCTCCCCCAGTTCCTCACCCTGCGCACAGCTGCCGAGTGCAGCTCCCTCGCGCTCAGGATGACCTGGGAGGCCCTTCTCCAGGGCGGCTCTCAGAACTGTGGCTGCACAGGCGACGCTGGCTCACCTAGTGCCCCAAGCACGGTCACACTGAACAGACATGCCACAGGCATCATGGGAAAGTGACACGGAATTCTGGAACAAGTGGCCTTTGGAAAGGCAAAATGGGCAGACAAGGAAACAACACACACACTGAGCATTCTACTCAAGGCTTCTTGATTATGGGATCCAGGAAACAAGGACCTTCGTGGTCTGTGTTCTGCGAGTACCCACCCGGTGGGCAATCCTGTGACAAAGGCATAGCACAGAATAGCAAGGAGCACCGCTGCACTCAAACTTGGAGAGAAGAGGAGAGAAGAAGGGAGTCCAGGAGAAGGAAGCTCCTCAGCAGACCCTGGCGAGTGCGGACACCTGACCAGCCATAGGCGGTCAGATTACAGAGGCAAGGGTGGGAAGGACAAGTAACACACGGAGAAAATAAAGGGCGCCCACATTCGTCCTCCACAGCCCTTGGAAATTATATTCCCAGCTACTCCAGCCAGGGTGGGAAACTGTCGCAGTGGCTTGTGTAATCGTATTAGTGCTGCCCCACCTCACACTCCCTCCACACTCCCGTCACGCCCCTCTCCTGGGGCAGCGTGTGACTAACACCATCAACCGGTCACTCCAGGCAGTGAACTGGGACAGGGAAGGTCTCCTGAGAACATTCTAGCAGATACTTTGTAGTTCTGCTCTTGTCATGACCCCCATTTCCTCTTAAATCATCTACCACGACTGCTCTAAGCTTCTCTATAGATGTCATTCACACCAATAATGGCTCAGTCCTATTTATACAGATGAAAGAGGCAAAACTGAAC